TCCTAATTATCCAGTTTTGAATTCATATCGAGCAAATTTCATTCTTTTTTGGTGTAGGCATTTATGAGATTTGGCCAATGTTTAGAACCATGTACCCACCAGGACAGAAGTCTGTCTTCTTATTTCCTCTGCCCAAAAAGGTGAGTCTCTCTCAGACTTTGACATTCTGCTATCTGCATTTCTGTGCAATTGGGGCAGAAAGACCAGAAGAAATAATGGAGATTACCACCCTCCACTGGCGCCAGTCGCTCCGCAGACCATGGGGTCTCCTTTTCCTAATTTCTCTGTTCAGAGATGGTTTTCTTTCAAAGTTTTAGGTGCTTGCACTGCCTCTGTGACCACAATACAGTGTCATGCAGGTCCACTCCCGCTATGAGGCAGAAAGATAAAAAAGACAAGAGGTAGAAAAAACAGAGAGATTCCCCCACACTTTCCAGCTTGCAAGGGTTCCCTTTCCTGGTCCTCTGGCAAGAAATTGGGGGTTTCTCCATGAAGTTGTGGCCACAGACAACCACTGCACAATTCGGCAACTAGGGCTATCCATATGTCACAGCCAAGGTTGAAGAAAGACAAAACCAGGAACTTACCACTATACCAATAGTTCAAGTTTTTGCTTCCCTCCCAATCTGTTTCACTTACTTTTCAGAGTCCTTAGTTGCTTTTTAAAATGTTCTCCAGAACTTTTAGTCATGATCAGGGGAGAAATCCCCTTGGTGGGATTTTATCCTGGCTAGCACCACAAATGACTTATAATTTGCCCCCAAAACATTTCCTTCATGCTTTCAAGTTTATTATCACAAGGTTTGAGACCGCATTCTCTGATATTTATTTTTATAGATTTAGAAATACAAGTGCAGTTTTATTATATAGATATACTACATAGTGGTGAAGTCTAGCCTTTTGGTATAACAATTACCAAAATAGTGTACATTGTACTAAATGAGTAATTTCTCATCCCTCATCACCCTTCTGCCCTTTCACCCCTTGAAGTTCCCTATATCTATCATTCCACTCTCGATATCAATGCACACACATTATTTAGCTCCCATTTGTAAGTGAGAACATGTGGTATTTTGACTTTGTTTCTGAGTTGTGTTACTTAGACTATGGCTTCCAGTTCCATTCATCTTGCTGGAAAAGACATAATTTCATTATTGATGGCTGAGTAGTATTCCATGGTATGTATGTATGTTTATGAGTGTGTGTGTGTGTGTGTGTGTGTGTGTGTGTGTGTGTGCGCGCGTGCACATGCGTGTCAGGGTCTGTGTTGTTCAGGATGAACAGTACTGTAATAAACACAAGAGTGCAGGTATCTTTTTGATATAATGATCTCTTTTCCTTTGGGTAGATACCTGGTAGTGGGATTACTGGATCAAATGACAGTTCTAATTTTAGTTCTTTGAGAAATTTCCGTACTGTTTTCCATAGAGATTGTACTAATTTACATTCCCATCAACAGCATATAAGTGTTCCCTTTTCTCTGCATCCTAATCAACATCTGTTGTTGACTTTTGAGTAGCAGCCATTCTTATGGGTGTAAGATAGCAACTAATTGTAGTTTTAATTTGCATTTCTCTCATGATCAGTGGTGATGAGTATTTTTTAGTATGTTTGTTGGCTGTTTGTCTTCTTTTAAGAAGTGCCTGTTCATGTCCTTTGATCACTTTATTTTTTCTTTCCAAATTTTATGTTAAGTTCCAGAGGTGCATGTACAGGCTTGTTCCATGAGTAGATTGTGTTTCACAGGCGTTTGGTGTACAGATACTTTTGTCACTGAGGTAATCAGTATAATATCTGATAGGCAGTTTTTAAATCCTCACACTCCTCCCATCCTCCACCCTCAAGTAGGCCCCAGGGTCTGTTGTTTCCTTCTTTGTGTCCACATATACTCAATATCTAGCTCCCACTGACAAGGGAGAACATGTATTTGGTTTTCTGTTCCTGTATTAGTTAATTTAGGAAAATGCTTTGTCCACTTTTTAGTAGCGTTATTTGGGTTCTTGTTTTGTTGTTTCCTCTTCTTGAGTCGTTTGAGTTCCTTGCAAGCTCTGGATATTAGTCCTTTGTCATATGCAAACTTTGCAAGTATTTTCTCCCATTCTGTAGGTTGTCTCTTCATTCTGTTGATTATTTCATTTGCTGTGCAGAAGCTTTTCCTTAAATTAAGTCCCATACATCTACTTTTGTTTTTGTTGCATTTGCTTTTGGGATCTTAGTAACAAATTATTTTCCCAGGCTATATCTAGATGAGTTTTTGCTAGGTTTTCTTGTATAATTTTTATAATTTCAGGTGTTATAGGTAAGTCATTTTCCCAGAGAAAGGGGCTTACTCTGTAGCCCAGGCTGGAGTGCAGTGGTGCAATTATAGTGCACTGCATCCTTGAATTCCTGGGCTCAAGGGATCTTCTGTTAAGAAGCTTCCCAAGTAGCTAGGACTACAGGCACATGACACTATATATATATATATACACACACACACACACACATATATATATATATATATATACACACACACACACACACACATATATATATATATACACACACACACACATATATATATACACACACACACACACATATATATATACACATATGTGTATATATATATATGCGCATATATATATACACATATATATGTGTATATATATATATGCACATATATATATATATATATTTTTTTTTTTTTGAGATAGGGTCTCACTCTGTTGCCTAGGCTTGTCTCAAACTCCTGGGCTCAAGTGATCCTCCTACTTCATCCTCCCAAAGCACTGGGATTACAGGTATGAACCACCATGCTCAACCTACAGTTAAGTATTGAATCCATCTTAATTTTTGTATACGGTGAAAGGGGTCCAGTTTTAGTCTGCATATGGCTATCCAATTTTTCCAGCATCATTTATTGAATAGGGTATTCTTTCCCTAGTGTATGTTTTTGTTAACTTTGTTAAACATCAGCTGGTTGTAGGTATGTAGCTCTATTTTTGGGTTCTCTACTCTGTTCCATAGATATATGTGTCTACTTTTATACTAGTACTATGCTGTTTTGTTACTATAGCCTTGCAGTATAATTTGAAGTAAGGTAATATGATGCCTTGGACTTTATTCCTTTCACTTAGGATTGTTTTGGTTATTTGGCCTCTTTTCGGTTCCATATGAATACTAGGATTTTTTTTCTGTTTCTGTAAAAAATGACATTGGTAGTTTAATAGAGATTGCATTGAATTTGTAGATTGCTTTGAGCAGTCTGGTTGGTTTAACAATATTGACTCTTCTAGTTCATGAGTGTGGGATATTTGTTCATTTGTTTGTATCATTTATAATTTCTTTCATCAGTGTTTTGCAGTTCTCCTTGTAGAGATTGTTCACCTCCCTGGTTAAATGTATTCATAGATATTTTATTTCATTTTATTTTATTTTATTTGTAGCTAAGAACTAGAAAAAGAGCCCACTTTCACCACTCATATTCAACATAGTAATAGAAGTTCTAGAAAGAACAATCAAGCATGAGAAAAAAATAAATGGCATCCAAATTGGAAAAGGGGAAGTCAAACAATCTCTGCCTGCTGATATGATCTTATACCTAAAAAAACTCTAAAGACTCCTCTAAAAGACTCTTCACAGAAGTCAAAGTAAAATATATTCAATTTTGTATATTATAGCACATATTTTGCCTGTATCTGTGAGATACTTACAGATATATATGGAGATCCCACAGTTAAATTTTAATAACATCAATTCCCTTTTGAATTAATATGTTTTGCTTTACATTTTTCACTCATTTGATACGTTTATGCTTATGACTAGCGTATCTTGTTTTATATGATGCCTATTATAATCAAGTAATGTCCCTATTTATCCTGTTCAGCGCTTTTAACTTTAAATTACCATAAGTTTGATCTTTGCACATTCCTGTAATTTAAACCGTTTTTCATCTCTGATTGAAAAGTGCTTCATGGTCCTGGGCTTTATTAACTGAACTTGTATAGATAGTAAGAAAACCTGGTAACGCATAATAATGAAGCAACTGATGTCCTTAATTATATTCTTTCTATTGTTCATTGTTTTCTGTTTCCTTTACCTTGTTGTTTCCTTTTTTCTTATTCTTCCTGGCTTGATCAAGTTATTGTTCACTGCCTCCCTTATTGTACCCAAGTTAATTTCTAAGTTCTACTTTTCATTTTCCATTCCACTAGTGATTATCCTGATTACCATGCTAGTTTTCTATTAAATGAAAATAGGATACCAAATATGCTCTCATTCTCTGCCCACATGCCCTCTATGTGACTACAGTCTTTTCCCCTACAGCTTTCCTTCCTCCTCTCCCAATATAAGATAAAATCTTTAAAATGCTTTCCTTGCCTTTCTCCCTAGCTGATTTTATAGATACTATTTACTATTTTTAGTTACCTCTACAATATATTTTAAAATACCTGGCATTATATTACAATGTTCCTTTCACTTTATTATCAGTTTAGATTGAACTATGTAGACACACACTCACACACACACACACACACACACACACACACACACACACACACGGATATGGAGGGCCAGACTTTAGGTACCTCCTGATGTGTGCTGTATGTTTTTCTACTTGAAGTTATCATGAGGCTTGCAAACAATGCTGCCCATTGTTTTAAGTTGATGACAAGACTCATTGCACAAACAAACAAGCAAAGACAAAACTAATAAAAACTCTATACTTTAACTTTGTTACTCCCCACCCCAACTCCCCCCCCTTTTTTTTAACTTTTTGTTATTTCTATCTTATTGTACTTACTGTCTACGTATTGAAAAGTTGTAGTCATTTTTGATTGGTTCATCTTTCATTCTACTCAAGATATGAGCTTACACACCACAATTACAGTGTTATAATATTCTGTGCTTTTCTGTGTACTTACTATTTACAGTGAGTTTTGCATCTTCAGATAATTTCTTATTGCTCCTTTTCTCTCAGATTCAAGAGCGTCCCTTAATATTTCTTGCAGGAGAGGTCTGGTGTTGCTGAAATCCCTCAACAGTTGTTGGTCTGGGAAAGTCTCTATTTTGCCTTCATGTTGGAAGGATATTTTTGCTGGATATACTATTCTAGGATACAAGTTTTTCTCCTTCAGCACTTAAATATGTCATGTCACTCTTTCCTGGCCTGTAAGCTTTCCTCTGAAAAGTCTGTTTTCAGATATGTTGGAGCCCCTTCATATATTAGTTTCTTTTCTCTTGGTACTTTTAGGCTCTTTTCTGTATCCTTGACCTTCGGGAGTGTAATTATTAAGTCTTGAGGTAGTCTTTGGGTTCAATCTGTTTGGTGTTCTATAACCTCCCTGTATTTGAATATTGATATCTTTCTCTAGGTTTGGCTAGTTCTCTGTTATTATCCCTTTGAATAATCTCTCTATCCCCCCCCTCTCTACGTTCTCTTTAAGTCAAATAACCCTTATATTTGCCCCTTAGAGGCTATTTTCTAGATCTTATAGATGTATTTTATTTTATTTTATTTTTTGTATCCGCTGATTGTACATTTTCAAATAGCCTGTTTGCAGGCTCACTAATTCTTTCTTCTTTATCAGTTCTGCTGTTAAAGCACACTGATGCATTCTTTAGTAAGTCAATTGCATTTTTCAACTCCAAAATCCTTCTTGGTTCTTTTTAATTATTTAAATTTGTTTGTTAAATTTATCTAATAGAATTCTGAATTCCTTTTCTTTGCTATTCTGTATTTTATTGAGCTTCCTCAACACAGCTATTTTGAATTCTCTGTCTGAAAGGTCTCATGTCTGTTTAGTTACCTGGACTCTCTGTTTCTCCAGGATTGGTTCCTGGATCCTTCTTTGGTTCTTTTGCTGAGGTAATGTTTTCCTGGATTACGTTGATGCTTGTTAATATCTGGGCATTGGAGAGTTGGGTCTTTTGTAGTCTTCACAGTCTCAGTTTGTTTGTACTCATCTTTCTCGGAAACAATTTCCAGGTAACAGGTGGGACTTAGGTGTTGTGATCTAAGTTTTGGATCATTGCACCCATATCTGCATTAGGGAACAACCCACAGGCAGTAATGCTGTGTTTGTTGTAGAGGTACCACCTTGGTGGTCTTAAGTAAAATCCAGAAGAATTCCCTGGATTACCAGGTAAAGACTCTTATCCTCTTCCCTTACTTTCTCCCAAACAAAGAGAGTGAGTCTGTCTCTCTCTGTCTCTCTCTCTCTCTCTCTCTCTCTCTCTCTGTTGAGAAGCCTGGAGCTGAGGGAGGGGTAACACAAACACCCCTGTGGTTATCACCATTGGGACTGCACTGGATCAGACTTGAAGCCAACAATGGGTCTTGCCCAAGGCCCATGACAACTGGAGCCTGGCTACCAACTATGTTTGCTCAAGGCCGTAGAGCTTTATAGTCAGCAGGTGGTGAAGCCAGCCAGATTTGTATTCTTCTCCCATCAAGGTGACAAGGTTTCCTCCGTCTCAGATAGGTCCAAAGATGTTATCCAGAGCCTGAAATAAAAAAATCTTAGGACTCTACCTGGTGTTCTATTCTACTGCAGCTGAGCTGGCACCCATGCCACAAGACAATGTCCTTCCCATTCTTCCCTCCCCTTTCTACAATCAGAGGAATCTCACCTCATGGCTACCACCACCATAGGCCTGTGCAAATATTGCCCAGCTACCAGAGGGCAGTATGTTTACTCAAGACCCAACATCTCCTCAGTCAACTTGGGGTAAATGCTGCCAGGCCTGGGACTCAAAAGGTCCTTCTGGCCCAGGGGAGGTCCAGAAATGCCATCCAAGAGCAATCAAGGACCCCAAGAACCTACTTGGTGCTCTATCCCACTGTGGCCAAGCTGGTACCTAAGCAGCAAGACAAAGTCACCTTTACTCTTCCCTCTCTTTTTCTCAAGAAGGAGTCCTTTCCTGTAATAACCACAGCTGAGAATGTGTTTTCATACCCGAAGCCTCCTGGGCCCTGCCCTGAATAATCAGCAGGTCATAAGTCCTGCCAGAACTGGGTCCTTCCCTTCAAGGCAGCAGGTTTGCAGGTTCCCTTCTTCCTCAGGGTATATCCAAAAATGTACATGATTTTGGGGCCTGGAACAGGGGCTTGAGGAATCTGCCTGGTGCCCTACCCTATTGTGGCTGAGCTGGTATCCAAGTTGTAAGACAAAGTCCCCTTTGCTATGTCCTTTTCTCTCCTCAAACAGAGGTAAGGAATCTCTCCAGGAGCTGCAAGCTGTGCTGCCTGGGTTAGGGGAGGGGTGATGCAAGCACTCCCTTGGCTGCCTCAGCTGTTGTCTCCCTAGGTCACATGCCCCTCTAATCCACTGGCTACAAGCCCAGCACAGCCCTAGGACTTACCCAAGAACTGTATTCCTTATGGCTTAGACAGCCTTTCAAGTTTATTTGGGACCCCAGAGCCCTTTCGCTCACAGTGGCAGGGCTTGCCAGAACTCAGGCTCTGACCACTGGGATGGGCAATTCCCCTTGACTATGGCTGGTTTAAACACTCTCCTGTGAGCACTGGTTGAGTTGTGCCTGGTATTGCTTTCCACTCTGACAGGACAGCACTGAGTTCCAATGAAAGTCCTGCAACCACTGTGCTCTCCCTCTCCAAAGAGCACAGATTCTCTCTTCCCACCATGTGACCACCTCAGGGGTATGAGAGAGAAGTGGTATAGGCAATTCAAGACTGTCTTTCCTGCCCACTTCAGTGCCTCTTTCAGTGTATAAAGTCAAAACGAAGTACTGTCATCACTCACTTTACTTTTGGTTCCTATGAAGGTGCTTTCTGTGTGGAGAGTTTTTCAATTAGGTGTTCCTGCAGTAAGGATAATCGGTGGAAGTCTATTCAGTCATCTTGCTCTGCCTCCCCTGGAATTTATTTCTGTGTATAATATATAAGGCATCTATTTGCATTATCTTTTTTTCTGCCAAAATATCATTACCTCCATGTTGCAAATAACAAAACCAAAACTCAGAAAGGTTAGGAAATTTGCCTGATATTTCAGAGGCAGCTAATTACCTAACTAGGATATAAACCTATTGACCCTTTCTGGCAATTCAAGCCATCTCCCAAGAGTAATGCATGATACATTTCACATTAAAACATTATTACATTCAGCACTAACAGCCTAAAAATGTCACTCACATCTGCTGCATTGCTTTAGCAGCAAGAAGTGCCTTGGCATTGCTGATCATATATAGATATACCTGCCAAGATCTGCTTTGCATTTGCTCAGAGATGGAATCACGAAGTCCAGGAATAGAATTCCATTATTATTCAGCACCAAGTAGCTGCTAACATTAAAATTAGGAAGCCTCAAATTGACACTTTCTCAAAAGACAATTCTAAGTTCTCTTGGCTGGCACAGAACACGAGTGATAATAACCGTAGAAGAGTATGGCTGACTTCCACCCAAGATCAGGAGACAGAACCATTCTGACTCCAACTTCAACCACCGATCCCCAGATAATCCTGCCTTGCTGCATGGAGAGTTGGCTTTAGTACTTTTTATGATATCTGTCTGATTGGGCTCATAGTGGACACTCTTGGGAGTTTCTTCCTAGTCTGAAATTAATTTATTTGCATTTGAGAATGCTGTCCATACCCTCACCCCAGAGCCATAGGGCCCTGGGGAAGAGCTGCTGGTCACCATGTTTGTGTCACCAGTGATTTCCCAAAGGTGGGCCACTAACTCTCATCAGGCCATCATATTCCCTCTCCTTCAGAATTTAGAGTTGGGCATGAGGAATTCAAGTCAGCCTCATTATGCAACTAAAACTGGATAGTATAAACTCAGGAGCCATAGGTGGCCATGTGCCATCAGGTGGACTGGGAAACAGAGAAGCCAGCCCCAGGGAAGAAAAGGGAAAATAAATATATGCACATATAAGCAGAGAAAAAGCCTGGAGACAGAATAATTTCTGGGTTTCTGATGACTTTCTGGTTGAGGTGATGCATATACTCAATAAATACTACACAATTAATATGTACAAGATATTATTTTAAATGATGGAATACTATAAGATACCACTCCATCCTTAAAATAAGTTGTTCTTTGCTTATGTTAATGGCAGGAGTCTCTACTTCTTATATAAGAGACCCAAAACTAATACAGGCCCAGAAACAAATTAATCCTCTATCTATGAGAATCTCACACTTCCGACTGTTCCAGATGCCAGTTCTATTTCATAGGGACTCAACCGTGTATTGTCACTCATTTTATAAGTCGTTTTAATAATCCTAAGGTGACTCCAAGTTCTTCCAGGGTAGTGGCTCTCAATTACCATGACACAGGTCCCCAGAGTATTATGATCAGTGATGAGGTATATCATTAGTAATTTTTTAATTATAGTAAAGTGCTAAAGTTGCCTAGCACTTTATGATTGCTTTTTCCCCGAGTAGCTTCAAGGTCATCTATAATATTGTCAGTCTCACTTGCATTCCCATATGCTTTTTGTGGAAGAAAAATCTAATATACCAGCATGCAGTGAATTGTGCATAAACCTGCGTGTGTATATATACAGGGGCATTCAGCTATGTGAAAATCATCCCTACTGTTTGTCAAGGTTGATGGAAAGTTAAGAATCTCAGAGACTGAGTCTTTCACAGAATTTTAAACATACCACAGGCACTAGATAAACTGCTGTGGTTGCCACTATTGATGCTACATAAAGAGGCCTTTCTGCTCCTTAAACCTGCACCATTGCAATTGGCCATATAAAAATGCCACACATGATCTAGGCCTTAGCCCTTGAAAATTTTTATCTCAAGCTGGAATATGTGCAAAGATTGGGTAGGAGCCAAATGAGAAGATCAAACAAAGGTAAATACACTGCTGTGAAGTGACATTTTTTTGTCTTCATTCCTTTCTGACGGGACACACCCTTCTGTCAGGCCATAGGAGCCTGGTGGGGCAGTGACTGGCCCAGAGGTGGACATGTGACCTGAGCAGGGTAAATCAGGATCCTTTTTCAGAAGTTGAAATGATGCTGGGAGAATGAACAAGATTTTATTAAATCTCACTGGCAGAATTATGTAAACCTGGAGCTACAAGGGCCTGTCTTTCCCAGAGGATGAAGCCAACCAAGAAAAACTACCACATAGTGGTATGTTTAAGTACTATATGTGTGTTATTTCATCAAATCTTTATGACCCAGGGAGCAGACAGCTAGTAAGCCCGCTTTTCTGATGAGGCAACTGGGGCTCTGAGTTTAAGCCACTGTCCAAAGTCATACAAGAATAAAGGAGAAGAGTGGATATTTTAATCCATGTCTTTTTGGCTCTAAGCCTTACCCTTCTTCAAGTAGGCATAAGATATTTTATATAAATGTATAGTTAATCTGAAACTGCCTATCCACAATAACTTGGGCAAGTAATTGGGTATCAGTTGACTGATACATCAATGCTTTGAAGCTAAGAATCAAGAAAACTCTTGTCTATAAAAAAACCTAACAGTAAACATTTTAGGATGTGGGATATACAATCTCTGCCAAAATTATTTAAATGTGCATTTAAATTGTAGCATGAAAATAATTATAGACAAGTAGGTAAGTGGCTGTGAGTGGCTGTATTCCAACAAAACTTTATTTCTAAAATAGACAGAGGGAAGAGGCAGAATTTGGCCTTTCACTAACAGTTTGCTGTTTAAGCTATTACTCATCATGTAACTGGATTATAAATTCCTTATAGACAAATTCCAAATGTTAAAAAACATATATTTTATAATTTACCCATGATCAAGTACATATACATACTTATTTCTGTAACTGATGAACAAAATACACAAATGTACAAATTGATCAAGGCAAGCAATGTGTTAACTCATGTTGACTTTGAGTATTTTGATTATTTATTTTTAAATTTTTTTTTGATATGGAGTCTCACTACGTTACCCAGGCTCGTCTTGAAATTCAGGCCTTAAGGGATTCTCCCATATAGTCACCTGAGTAGCTGGGATTACAGGCGCAAGCTATGGTGATCAGCAGTATTTTGATTCTTGGAAAGGACTGTGCCAGACATCTTAGTGAGGATAAACCAAAGAAGGGTGAGATGAGCAAGCAATCCTGGAGGGTAGGCATATGTCCTTTGAAAAGAGCAGTCCATTTTTCCCCATGCAAGGATGAAAAAACTATTACGTCAGTGAGAAACAGGCCACCCTGGCTGCATAGAGAATAAGTAAGTTTCAGGGACTTCCAGACAGTAGCAGGATAAGAAAACCAAATAACAAGCTAAGAGTACCCAAAAGATACTCTTTCTTTGAGATCTGTGAAGATAATTAGATCCTCCTATTCTCAGGGAGAAAATAGATACATCTATTTCCAACAATTTTCCAAATAGTATTTGGTTTTGAAAATAAAATAAATTTGATTAAATGTTTTAGATATAATTTAAAATATCCACAAGATCACAATATTTGCAACAAATGTGACTATTTAAACTATTGTACTAAAAATAGTATAATCTTAGATATCCCTTTTAAAGTCCAGTTTCTAAGGAAATGTGGTTCTAAGGGCATTTGGAGAGGGGGAGAGCACTCCAATTTCAATTCTCAACATCGTTGTATAGGAATGTGAGAAGCTTTCTGAGTCTTCCAGAACTAAGAAACTAAAGAACAAGGAAAGGCAATTTTATGACTATCACTTTTATGAGATTACATATAACTAGATCCAAGTGAAAGTTAATTTCCAAACATATACACATTCAGGTAATGATAAACTGCCTGTAAGTGCCATTTAACTGAATGCATTTTATTTCTATTATGAGGAATGATTCGCCCTTGAGGGACAAAATAGTCTTGTGTATGTAATATAAAAAACAGGGCACGGATTTTGCAAGGTTGTCTATATTTTCCTTTCTACCTACACTATCATCTTATATTCAAGGTTATCCAAGCTAAATACCCAGGAATCTTTGCCCTACAGTAGTACAAAGGAAGCCAACATAAGACATCAAAGAGGGAATGGAAGAAATGAAGGAAAGAGGGAAGGAAGAAAAGAAGGAAGGAGAAAGGATGGGAGGATTTAAAAAAAGGAAAAAGAGAAAAAAGAAGAATTAAACAGCCTAAGAATGAAGGAAAAGTGGTTATCTTTGAAGGCCTAGTCCCCTAAGCAAAGAAAAATTCTAAGAGGATTGGAGGAAATGGACCCTTGAAAGGTCTGTTCCATGCCCAGGGTCCTGCGGACTTGCTGACTTGCCCCTCCCGCCTCTCAGTCCTAAACTCACTTCCCACACTCAAGATGCCAATTAAACCTCTTTGTGTACAACTTCCAAATCTCTTATCTCAATAACTGATCCATCTACTGGTCACTCATTCTGAGTCTCTAATTGTTGCCTAGTATTTCCCTGTAGAAGAGCTACCTTCATTTCAAAGCCTAATGTGATCAAACAAAAACACATCTTTTAAAGCCAGCTTCTCTTTCCCTACTTCAGTATACAGTGAAACCTTAGGAATCTTGAGTCCACATCCTGCAGCAAGCTTGTCCAATCTGTGGCCCACATGTGGTCAAGAACAACTTTGAATGTGGCACAACACAAATTCATAAACTTTCTTAAAACATTGTGAGATTTTGTGATTGTTTTTTCTTCCCCCGGCTATCATTAACGTTAGCGTATTGTATGTGTGGCCCAAGACAACTCTTCTTCTTCCAATGTGACCCAGGGAAGCCAAAAGATTAGACACCCTGTCCTACAGCAATAGAGTCTTCCTTCAGAACATATTTCTGCATTCATTCCTCACTCTCCATTCCTTCTGACACCATTTAAAATCTTAGGCAAGCATACATTTCTACAACAGTCTTTATATTCATCTTTCACTGCTTTACCCCCAGCATTTCCCTATGCCAATCACTGATGCTAAATGAATCTTACCCAATTATCATTTTTAACCCACCATCCTCCTGATAAGAAAAATCTTTTGGCCCTCTCTGCCTACAGAACAAAGTATATGTTCTTGGGTCTGGTGCCCTGTCTTTCAGTATCTGTTCCCAACCTACCCTACCCATCCCCCACAAAAAACTGAAACTCTCCATGGCTAGGTGAGTCCATCAGCTCTCCTCCAAATGGCAATACTCATTTGTACCTTTTCCTGGTCATATATTCAACTAAATATCATCACTTATGCGTTAGGCATGTGGTTGCACAAACATGAGTTGTATTTTACTTTCACAATAAATTGCAATCGTTTAAGTGCAAAACAATAGCTCTACAAGGTTCCAAGGGCTTGGTAAAGGGAAATAATCTTCCACAAAAATCTTCAGAAAAAGGTGCTGAAGGACCGAAGGATGCGTAATAGGGCCAAATGGAAGCAGTAGCTTGGGAAGTGGGGAGAGCACACGAGAGGTGTCTCTAGGGCTTCAGAGGTAAGAGTCACAATTACCTATGATCAGGAACCAGCCAGTCAGAAGGGCTTCTTACAGTCTGGGTTTTCCAAGCACAAGATGTTTATATTTGTAAGGACTGAAAGCCGAAGAGGGTACAGAGTTGCTCCAGGTATTTCAGCCCAGGTCACTTTCCTTGAAAATCAAACCAAACTAAAGTACTTGAAAGACATTATAAAGGCCCCAGGGAAAAACACCAAAAACTATGCAACCTGCCCCCTTCTCTACCTTCATTACCTGCTAACAACTCACAGAAAGTTCAGCTGGTAGCTCTCGTCTCACAACACCACTATCTCTTCAGCACATCCTTCAACTGTGCCTCCCTAGAATTTTGGAAACATTAAGGTGAAAGGATGAGGAAACACATGAGTTTTTTTTTGTTTGTTTGTTTGTTTGTTTGTTTTTTTTGAGAACATTCTATGTGCCAGGCATTGTGCTGGGTGCTTCGACACATAAAGAAGAGAAGAAGAAACTAAATAGAAAAAGGCAAAGTAGTGACTGGAAGTTAAAGCCAACAGCGGACGAATGAGGGCACTGGTTTTCAAATTGTTTCATGGGAGCTGCAACGGAACTCTCCAGGGAAACTGACAAAATGCAGATGCCCAGGCCAATAACAAGTCGGTAGAACTTGGATAAGGCCCAAAACTATATAAATGTGTGTATGTGTGTGCACATGTATAGATATACATGTATAAACATATACACACATATGTGTGTGTGTGTGTGTGTGTGTGTGTGTGTGTGTGTGTGTGTATATATATATATATATATATATCTCAAAACAAAAAGCCCAGGCCAGGTTCAGTGGCTCACACCTGTAATCCCAACACTTTGGGAGGCTGAGGCAGGTAGATTACCTGAGGTCAGGAAGTTGAGACCAACCTGGCTAACATGGTGAAACCTCATCTCTACTAAAAATACAAAAATTAGCCAGGTGTAGTGGCAGGCACCTGTAATCCCAGCAACTATGGAGCCTGAGGCAGGAGAATCGCTTGGGCCTGGCAGGCAGAGGTTGCCGTACACAGAGATTGGACCATTGCACTCCAGCCTGGGTGACAAGAGTGAGACTCCAAAAATAAAAAAAAGAAGCCCAGGCAATTCTAAACACTGCATAAGCATTTATGAATAGGTCATTAGAACTCCCGAATTAGGGTATCTACTTCTTCCTTTAGACCCCATAGTCTTTGTCCAAAGTGGAGGAAAGAGAAAGAGATACCATACTTCAATGAATCTTGATGAGCCCGGCACATCATTATTTTACATTTTCCTTAGGGGGAAAAATACACTGGCAATGAAATCATATTATGCAAGCAACTATAAGATGCCTCCCAATTTCAGAAATGTTAAAAGGTTTAAAAAATGTACATTTTTGAAAAGATGAAAGATAGTTAACATGTATCAAGCTTCCACTAGTGTCTTGATTAATCTGTGGTTACCTGCCTGGCAAGTGAGATGAAATTTCCTGAGTTACACAGCTAGTGAGAGACTGTGCTAAGACTGTTCCCACTGCAAAGAACTGCATACAGAACAAAGCATAAGCTCTTGGGTCTGGTGTCCTATCTTTCACTATCTGTTCCCAGCCCATCAGAGCCCAAGTACTACCTTCGGTTACTCCACAGAGCTTATGTGAGTAGTCAAGCTCCAAAACCAGGACCCTTAACCTCTGTCATATACCTCTCTCCATGGAGCACACATAAAACATTTAGAACAATTCTCCGCACAAAGCAAGCTCCAAACAAACACCATCTTTCCTGCCTTCACACAGCTTGCAGTGCAGTGAGAGAGCCACATGTGATGAGCAGGAAAGAACAGGGTACTAACGGAGAATAGAATAAGGGGACTAAACCAAGTCTTAGGTGGTCAGGCAAGGCTCCTGGACCAATTAACATTTAAGCTGAGAACTGGACAACGTTGAGTAGCACTTAGCATCAAATGAAGAGGTGGAATGGGGTGAGGTTTCTGTGAATCCCAGCCCTGATGTGGAATGAAGACCATTATTCTGCTCTCAACCAGAGACAACACTGAATCCAACAATTTTTCCTGGCAGCCCACCCCAACTTTGTCCATAGGATTCCCATCAGCTTCCAAGGTCTAGAAAGGGGCCCACTGAGAGGGAAGGCAAACTTGAATCTCACTGCCTGTCAAGAGAACAGATGAACAGATCTGCTTGCTGGGCAGATGGCGTGGAGCAATAAATTAGCCCTATAAAATAAATTTAAATGTTTAATCTCTCTTAATTACAATGAGACATATCTAGAAGAAGATTTTTTTAATAGCAGGCAAACCACAATTGCAATGATGAACTCATTGGAAAGCCCCGCTACATCTCCCTAACCGCCATTCCTCCATTTAGGCACTTGAACTTGTTACATTTGGGAATAGCTTTATTATTCAAGATGATGATGTCAGCCTCCACAGATCTGCAACATGGGATGGGACAGAAGGAATGCATTACACAGACTCATTGGGAACTGAGCCCAGAAAGCACTTGGTGCCTGGAAGAGAACAGAAGGCCACATCAGTTTGCTTTACACTAGGCTCCTAGCAAACACAAAACCAAACGCAGGCATTTAATTAAGGATACAAAGTTTCCCTCATCCAAGATCACTGAAAACCATTTTACTTTTCTCTTTCTTAAAAAAAAAAAGCCATACTGAAAAAGAATGTTTACAGAATATTCAGACTTTTGCTTGAGACTCATTCAGGAATAAAGAAATAGAAGCTCCAAGTTAGGTAACAGAAAAACTCAGATATGGCAAATATTCCAGAATCAAACCTGTGAATACTGAAAAATTGGTGTGAGCTTGCCACTCAAGACCAGGTAAAAAGTTTTACAACAGCATCTTCCACAGGCACTTCCTTTAAAAAAAGAAAAGGCACTTCCTATTCCCTGCACCTGAATGCCTGTTGCCAATTTGTTGGCCAGATCAAGAATGACTTCAGTGAGGTTTTTTTGGACGTCCCCTGAGTAAGGCTAGTTTCTCTCCTCTGTTATCCCTGGCCTGACAGGAGAACATACTTTTCTTACTGTAGATAAAGTACTGGGTTGTAATTAATCATTTACGCTTCTGATGCCCCACTAGACTAAGTAACCAAGGGCCAAATCCACATCTCATTTACCCAAAGATTCTTGCACCTGGCACAGTACTTAGCACAATACAGGTTGGTCAAAGTATTAACTGAGCAATGACCTGTCTACACTGCTGTCTGCTAAGAGAACGTGGTCTTTATGGGTTTCTTGAAGGGTAGAGTGAGAGCATATTGAATCAGATTCACAGGTTATTACAGTATACATCCCAAACTTTGGCCATTAATGTTTTTCTATGTAATTGAAAAATATGTATTTTCCCAATATTTTTCTTTAAAGTAATTAATTCCCTTTGTTAGTTTTCACCTTGTCTTAAGCAATTACCAGAGAAAAATCATGATTTGGTGCCTTAATTCTATCTTTTTCAAATATACACAATATTAAATTGCTAAATCAAACATTGATCATCCTCATACCACCTCCAATCTTCTGGCATATAGTCATAGAGGGGTGCACATAACACACTTGAGGACATCCTAGGTTAATAAAATATTTAAGCTCAGAAGGTCACTTGAGATTACCAAACCCAAACTCTTCATAAATAGAGAAGGAAACCACAGTTCAGAAGGACCTTCTTTCTTTCTCAACTCATGAAATTAGTGAGAAAATTGACAGAGAATGAAATTAGGCAGAGAATGGACAAGCATCAAGAGCACCAAGTTCCCATGATAGTGTTTTTTCTCTAACAACTGGGACAAATATGAGCAAGACACAAAAGCTTTCATATCTGTAACATATAGCAAATATGTTCAAGATATTTTAAAAGAAACCCTTTTATTAAAAACACTGGAAGAAAATAAAACAGAGTCTGGCAGAGTAATAGATATATGATTCCTTCTTTTTCCTAGTTTTCTAATAACTTAAATGTGGTCTTAATACCCTTTATACTGAAAAGAAACACACACACACACCCCATGAGATGGGTAATTTAATGTGTTAACTTGTTAAGTTATGGTGCCTAGTTGTTTGGCCAAATGTGTCTAGATGTTACTCTAAAGGTATGTGTTAACATCTACAACCAATTGACTTTAAAGCAGGTTACCCTTTCTGATATGGGTGGGTCTCACCTAATCAGTTCAAGGCCTTAAAAGCAAAGATGAGTTTCCCAGAGAAAAAATTCTGCCTCAAGTCTGCAACACAGAAATCCTGCCTGAGTTTCCAGCTAGTATGCCTGCCCTATGAATTTCAGACAGGTCAGCCACATGAGTCGATTCTTTAGTCTGTCAATAGAAAGACAGATTTAGATTTGGACCTCTAATTGTTCCATTTCCCTAGAGAATCCTCAGTAATAAGCTATATTTTTCCATGTTTGTGCATCTGGGGGAAAGGAATTAACACTAAAGATGACCAATAAGGGTTTGGAAAGAAAATAAAGGAAAATATTAATTCAACAAGCACAAAAGAGCTAATATTCATCTGTTATTGGTTAACAGAATAAATGTGAGAATAAAACAAAGTAAGCCACATACAGCATACCTCCTCAAATCAATGAATTGTAAATTAGCCTCTACAAAAACCTTTTTAGGAAACATACTGAAGAATTCCTTTCCTGATGTTGTTTATCTTTACACTTGATTCCCGTTCATTGTTTTCTTTAAATCGCTAATACAACAACTAAAACACTCCTACCCAAGTTTCACAGTTTGCTTACAGTGTTTTTTTTCTCTTTTTGAGTGGGTGCCAGAAAAAAAGATACCGAATTCATTTTTCTAAAACAACAGTATTCCTCCTCTTCATTTCCCCTGCAAATGAAGCCAGCAGGATTTCTCCTAGTGCATCACTTTGTGTTATTGATATGCAACAACAAGCTTATCTTCCTCCACACTATCCCAGGGACACTACATACAAAGCCTTTTGTTAATGAATTAAAGAAGCAAATGATTTCTATAGCCCATAGTGACAACCAAATCAACATTTTAAAAATATTCATATCATAAAATTTAAATAAGAGGTCTCCTCCACTCTGCAAATCAGCACATTATAAATCTCCATGTTTCTATTAAATAATCTATAGTGCCAATGAATTGCAGACCAACTCCTAGCTCTGTTGTATGTTTATCATTACATTTCCTGAAACAGAGAAACAAACCATCAGAAAGTATTTATTACACTATATGCAACCCAACCACAGCCAATGAAGAAGCCCCTTTCAATTGCAATGTAAAATTGGGTAATGTTTACAAGTGGATCCTTGAGCAGTGTGTCAATTTACACTTAATAAAGATCATTTTAAGGCACAATTACCAGTCCTTGTTATTTGGTGTTTTCCAGTGACTATCTTAGGTGTTAATAATGTTCTATTAAACTGGCTTAGAAAAAAGAAGAATAAGTCACACTCTGAGACTGGGGAACTGGAGAATGCCAGGGCAAAATATTTATGGACAGAGCACTGAGCAAAAGATCTGGAATTTAGATTTGGAGTCCTGGCTCTTATGCCTCACCTGTATTCTCATCTTTAAAATGTAGGGAACAGAAATCTATCAACCAGTGACCTTAAGAAATAAGTGTCAAAGTTTTAAATGAAAAACAATCCCACTTAGAGTATGATTCTTTTGTATTCTCAATAATCCAAAGTTTATCCTTTTAAATTCTAAAATTGAAAATGCCACCCCTATACTCTCAGCATGGTCTTCTAGAATTGCTAATATGGCCTGATGTATTAAACAAAAATGGCATTCTTCATGACTCACGTGACAGAACTGATCAGGACTCTCTTGCAAATATCACTTATAAATCACAATATTTTAGACATTTTGACCTACCTTTTCCAACTGGCAAATGACATGTTTGCATACGTCCTTTTGGCTATCACCAATGAGTAATTTTTGGGCTCCAAGATTATTTGAATTGTCATTGTCAATATCATTTGTTAATCCTATTTTCAGAATCTAATCAATGTGAAGGTGCTGATAGCCAGAGATGACAAAGGCACACAGAGTTTATCCTCAAGAAACTCTCAATCTGATGATAGAAAGTGACACGGGTCCAGTTACTCATGACATAAGGGCCATAGTAGAGGAACAAGCAAAGAGTGGGGGATGATATAGCTTGGCTCTACATCCCCACCCAAATCTCATCTCAAATTGTAATCCCCATAATCCCCACATGTCAAGGGAAGGGCCTGGTGGGAGGTGATTGGATCACAGGGGTGTTTTCCCCGCCACGCTGTTCTAGGGATAGTGAGTTCTCAAGAGACTGATGGTTTATAAGGCAGTTTTCCATATTTGCTTGCTCTCTCTAGCCTGTTGCCATGTAAGACGTGCCTTTTCTCCTTCTGCCACGATTGTAAGTTTCCTGAGGCCTTCAAAGCCATGCAGAACTGTGATTTAATTAAACCTCTTTTCTTTATAAATTATTCAGTCTCAGGTAGTATCTTTATAGCAATGTGAGAATGAACTAACACAGGGAATATTTAGGAAGGTTCGTTTTGATTGGGGTTGGAGTAGATCAGAGAAGCTTTCACAGAGAAAAAGAGCATCTGAAATGAGTCTTTAAAGATGATCTCAACTACAGTAGCTATGAAAGGGCAGAAAGAAAACTGGAGTCCAAAGACTCACTGTGACCTGAGTACTAGTGGTACACAGTCTTTTTCACATAACTAATGTGCATATTTGCATCTTTGTGGTTTCATTCAAATTTGTCATTCTGAAATTATACCTAATGAAATTCAAGATATTTTTAAAACAGAAATAAAATATTTTAAACACAAGGACCTTTGTAAAGCCTGTGCTCTCCATTTATCCTGCCTCTAGAAATAAAATCCTAATATTATTGTTTATAAACTCTAGCATGTTCCTGTAACTTCTATTTATATACATTCATATTTTTTATCTTTTTAAGCTTAGCATAAATATGTTTCATATATTATTCTACAACTAGATCATCACTTAAGATTATGAGACCAACCTATTTTGAGTCATATAACTCTAGTTCAATAATTTTAACATTTCATATTTTTGCATGAATATAAAAAATCATTTATCTGGCATTCTACTCATGAAAATTTCACTTATTCTTTACTTTTGGCCATTACAAATAATTTTACAATTAACATCTTTGTAAATATCTTCTTTCCCATATCAAAAAGTATCTCTATGCAAGTGGAATCTCTAGGTTAAAGCATATTTATCTTTAATTTTGTCACCTCTAACTTATTGCCTTGTAATGCACAAGAATGTGTATTTTCTAGTTGTCAGTCCAGGGTTCTAACCTTGCCAGATAAATCAAGATTCTTTATTTTGCTATTCATATTTTCTATATCTAACTGTGGTCTACCTAGGTCTCAAATACTAAGGAAGTTAAAACTTTCTTCTATGACAGTGAGTTTGTCAATTTTTCCATTCCATTTATTTACACATTTTGAGGCTATTTTATTACGTGCATGCAACTTTAGAATTGTTACATCTTACCAGTAAGATATAACATCTTGATAACACTATTGTTATATATTGGCAAGGATGGACTGCTAGACCACATACAATCTTTGGGGCTTGAGACAGTGACACAGAGCTAAGGCTTAATGGAGAAGTGGATCACGCTTGAGGGTCAAGTGCTAGCAAACTCATGTCATACGTTCTTCAACCAGACTTCTCAGGAATAGAAATTCTGACTCATATCAGCCTGACTCAATACTTTATGTTTTAGTTGGGTCCCAATTCAGGGGGAGAAAAAATGAGAGCTATTTAATGATTCTCTAATATCTCAAAAGGATTCCCTCTAGAGTATATTTTGGTTCTGGCAACTGTCCCAAAGCTGTCACTAGCACAACACAAATTTAGGAATTAATTATTCAGCTTATAGCTCCTGGAACACATAGGAACACAGGTACACGAACTCAGCTTTTTCCAAGAAGACCTACTCTCCCCCTACCTAGAACTCAGATTAAGATAGATGAATTTTCTTTTGCTCTCCTGTACTCATGGGTAACTCTTTAGACCATTCTTTCCCATAGAATACAGTCCTCTGAGAGTTCCTATTTTATGCAGGGATGGCAGTTCCAACTCTCCTGCCTCCAACCAAATGAGTATTAACACCTAATATCAGCCCTCTAGCAAGGGCTCCACAGAGCAGTCCCACATATGTACCTCTCTGATTTGCAGTTTCCTTTTTGTTTTGAGCATCTGTTGATTTGCTTTACTTCCCTGCAAGGCTCATCATACGCTTATTAGGATTTCTATTTTATCTAGCATTTCTTGAGATTGTAGTGAGAGGGCTTTTAGCTTATGTTTTGTGCAATTCTGCCAGAACTAGAGGTGGTGATACATGTGACACGCACTTGGAACAGCCCCTGGTCTGTGATAACTGCTACAAGTGTTTGCTGTAATTAAAAACATTGTCTCCTCTTCTCTTCTTTGTGTAGTAGTCAGGTGACATGCATAGAAAGTCTAGTGTGTTACCTTTACTGAATGATGATACAAAACTATGCATTTTAAAACGAAGGCATATTCCTATATAAAAATCTAGTGGGGTGTTGTAAAGATTCAGTTTGAAATTGATTATGTGCTCTTTGTTGAGAGGGGTGATGCCAATAAACAAAAAATATTTTTATTTAAAAACACATTTAAAAATAAAGCTTCAAAATAATATAAAACTAAAACTATAAAATATATAACTAAAACTGTTAAGATTCAGAAATCTAATGCTTTTTGGCAATCATTATTTATATTTATGATAAAGGGAGCAAATATACTGTGAAGCTCAGGGAACTTAAACTTTAAGATCCCTCATTTGCTCAGGGCTGAAAACAAGCCTTGCCAGTGGATTTACATGATATTTTGGTAAAATGTGCGAATTTTTCAAAAGTGAGATCTTTCATCCATAGTCAGTTAAAATAATTGTCTCTTCCAATTCCTACTTTCCTCAGTCATACCTTCCCATTTTCAGGCAATTCTAGGGAATCCCAGACATTTTGGGGACCCAGGTAAGGAGAAGTTAAGGTGGAATCACATTTAGCTTGAGTTTAGTGAGATGTATTTATACAGTCTTTATGGTATGATATGGTTCACTGACACTCATGTAGAGTCATTACTAGCTGTATGAGTATACAAATGACTTCTAAGAATACTTCTGCACTACCTTCCCACCCATTTGGATTCATTCAGAGTCACAAGACAGTGGATGGAAACGTGTGCACTGGAGGAAAAAAAGCTCTGAAATGTAATGAAGCAGGAGCTAGGCTTTGAGAGATTCTTCCGATATTTAGACCTGAAAAACTGAAAGCTAAAAAGCTCATTCTCACAGATAATGAAACAGAAGAGAAATGTGAAACAGATTTGATAAAAGGGCACATACAATTATAAACATATCTTATTTCTTTTTCTTTTATATGGAATAATAGGAGGTAGAATATATAATAATTCCTATTTTAGGGCTCAAATCTATATCATTACAATAATCGGTGAGTATGTGTATGTGAGAGGTCACATAATAGAAATCCAAATGTCAATAATACCAAGAAATTTTAGTCAAACACAATAGAGGAAAGATTGCATTATCTGTTCTTGAAACAGAGAAATATTACAAACTCATTGTTTTAAAAAGACACAGTTAATGAGCAAACAGTCAAAATATGAAGGCCAAAAAGTATTATAGGGGTATGTTACTCAGTTAATAAAAACTTATTTTTCTGTATTTTGAGATGTTAGTAGTACTTGTCAGCTTTTTAAAATTTGTATTTTTGTTATTATTCTAAAATAATGCTCATACTATACTAGTTTTTATGTTTCAAATTTTGTAGGAAATTTTCCCAAACTATATAAGCTTTAAACACCACAAAACCCTCTCTCCAGGGTCCAAAACAAAAACAGAAGAAAACAGAGTAAAAATGAACCAATTTAATGATTTAATAATGCCATTTTGATGACAACATTATACAAACTTAAACTTTTGATAATGCATAACAAATAAATTTGGTGAAAATAAATTTTTAAGAAAAGCACATTTCTACATTTTAAGTTATATCTGCCTTGTTTTTCTGTATGGTTAATTTAAAATAGAAATTAAAACCATATATAAATATTCAAAACTTTAACTTTTCTCGTTGTCTTTATATTTTTCCGTTCTCATGTCACTAATAAAGACATATCTGAGACTGAGTATTTTATAAAGGAAAGAGGTTTAATTGACACAATTCACCGGCAGAAAACTTACAATCATGGTGGAATGGGAAGCAAACATGTTCTTCTTCACATGGCAGCAGCAAGGAGAAGTGCAGAGAGAAGTTGGGGAAAAGTCCCTTACAAAACCATCAGATGTTGTGAGTGAGAATTCACTCACCATCACAAGAACAGCATGGAGGTAACCATCCCCTTGATTCTATTACCTCACGCTAGGTCCCTCCCACGACACATGGGAGTTATGAGAAACTATAATTCAAGATGAGATTTGGTTACAAACACTGTCAAACCAAATCAGTCTCAAACTGCCTTCATCAATAAAAAAGAAGCCAAATGTTAAATTACAACTCTCAACCTGACTAGTGGTAAAGGTAACTAGTGTGCTAAAGTTTATGGTTCATGGGATTATCTGATTAATAAATTTTGTTCAGAAAGGTATAAAATATAATAAATCTCTATTTAGTCCACAAATATAGAAATCAATACCCAGTAATTGAGTATAAAAGAATAAAAATTAGAATAATAATGTGAATCAAATAATTTAGATGTGCAGCATTTCTAAAAAGGACCTTCCCTGAGAATGACAAGATGGATGAGAAATGAGCTTGACTGCTGTCTAATACGCATTGGATTTTTCTCCTTGATTTTTGTGTCAAAGGCTTATGAGTTCCTGAAGAAGTGATATAATCTTTCCTCTGTTGTTTTCCCTTTATTTTGTCAATTAACATAATTGCAGTATATCCAAGTGGAAATGTCTACCAGGCAGCTGAAAGTGAAGGAGAAGGGCTCAGGAGAGAAGTCGAACTTGAAGACAAGGATCTGGCTGTCACCCGCATCGAAACTGCCAAGGAGGGGGATAGTAAGAAACACGAGAAAAAGACTGCTGAAAGGCTCAGAAGTCATTTTATTTGAGAAATAAAGAAAAGTCAAAGAGGTCATTTAAAAAAAAAAAAGGAGGAAAAAGATAAGGAATCAGAAAGATAAGCAGGAAACCAGGTTATAGCAGCATCTCACAGACCAAGGAAGAAGGCACATTTCTAAATACAAACACACAAAACAGGAATTGATCCACAATGTTAAACTCTGCAGAATTGTGAGAAAGAACAAGCACCAAAAGATGGGGCAGGATGGCGGAAAAAAATGTAACTCATTGTTGACTTTACGGACTACAGTTATAGCAGTGTAGCCACAGATCAAATCACAAGCGTGCACAATGCAGTAAATACAGGAAGTATATACAAATTATTCCCTGAGGACATTTATTTGGGATTAAAAGAAAGGATGTTTTTAAAATCAGGATGGTGGCCAAAGGAGAAGGCGATTTTCTTTTACTTCTTTTGATGTGACCCTTTGATGTCACTGGAGTACATTCAGGTAGGCCTGCCCACCAGAAGGACCCAGGAGAGAAGTCAGGCCTGGAGATGAGCTAGCTGTCATCTTTTTGGAGGTTGCAAAAGAAGCAAATGATAGAAACTTAAGAAAAGGGCTGCTGACAGTCTGATAAATCACTATATTTGGGGAGCGGAGTGGAAAAACAGAAACAGGTTGTTTTTAATTGTGGCTATTTTAAAGATAGAGGACATTTGTACATATGTTTAGGCAACAACATTTTATAGAAAGAAAAAATGAAAAGCAAGAAAAGAAAAGGATATAACTGAGAGAGCCAGTCACATCTAGAGAACACATAAGAAGATGAATTCAAGAGCAAGGAGCCTATTTCATAAATTTGGTGATGAATTCACCAGTGTTAATTTTACTATCAGTTATACAAACATACATTACATGCTATTATATAAAGATCAAGAATCACATATAGTTTTTAAAAGAGTGAGTAGGAAAATACATGTGACCCTGGGAATCACTTTTTTTTTTTTTTGAGATGGAGTTTCGCTCTTGTTACCCAGGCTGGAGTGCAATGGCGCGATCTTGGCTCACCGCAACCTCCGCCTCCTGGGTTCAGGCAATTCTCCTGCCTCAGCCTCCCGAGTAGCTGGGACTACAGGCACGCGCCACCATGCCCAACTAATTTTTTGTATTTTTAGTAGAGACGGGGTTTCACCGAATCACTTTTGACAACAGTCGGAGAAGCTAGTCCTCTTCTCATTTCATTGTCAGCAGGACCCATCCCCATCCATACCCAGAATATAAAGCTAAAGGCCTGTTCTGCCCTAACCTTGCAATGGCTCGAAAGAGGACTCAGAAGGAAGGTTGGGAAACTCTTAAAACACTGAAAATAACTAACTCAGACACAACTTGAAATTTCTCATATTTTTCTTCCCTGAGTGAAAACAATACTTAAGAAACAATTTACAAACAAAGCATTTCCTTCATAAATACGTGCTTAAAGTACTCAATAAAGTCCCAAGAAACAAAAGCCATGGTGAACTGAGAAGGAAAGATTCTAATTTTTACTTACATCTCTATAACTCACTTGCAGCTACTGCAAGTCATCTCGTTTCTTTGCCTGTCAATATTCTCAGAAGTAAAATGAACAGGTTGGATTAGATGATTTCTAATGTCCATTTCCACTGTAACTGTTCCTTTTCCCTCTACCATCTGTGAGTTTTGATCAATGCACACAAGCCTCTGCTTCCTAATAGCTGCAAATCTTGGGGTTCCACTGGGTGCCATCCTCAACAAAATGGCAGAGTTTGCTGGAAAGAACCATGACTCACAAAAGTGCATTTAATAAGCACTTCTGTAAATAACTTCATTGTGCTAAGCCCCAGATGTTGCTGATAAATATTAGCCAGCTAAGCTCAAGAGGAGAAGAGGTCATTCAAGGAGAAGCACTTGTGTCTCAGAAAGTCGATGCGTAAATGGTAAGCCATACATACCAGATTTGCACTGAGGAGGTAAAAATAAGTCAGCTTCTTCAAAACAAAATAATTGCTTAAGCAGATTAACCACCCTCAACACACACACATACAGTAATGGCACTGGCAAAACAACATTTATCTCTAAGTCTCAAGCCCAACAACTGAGACCAGTACAGGTGCCAAGTACTCAGTAATACATGGCAGAAAAAAACACAAGCCACACAAAAGTAAAGGGAAGCAGTGACTAATTTCTGTCACTTACATACAATACAAAATGGGGCACTAGAGAGATGCATGCCCTAGAATGTCCTGACATGAGTAACAATTGCTGGGGCCCAGGAGAAAAGTTCTAAAATCTTCAAATGGCAATTTAATTTTAGTTCAGTAGTTCAGACTGAAAAGAGCTCTGATAGTCTATCTGGTAAAAAGAAAGTCATGATCAATACTGACTGGAGAGTAACAGTTAAGCATACCAATCTTTGTTGGGGTTTGCACTTGACCTGAGGCTCAGCAAGATTCCTGTCTTTGAGGAACTTACAGCCTAAGAGGATGCAGCATTGCAATGTTTTCAGATGCCACTTGGATTAATCTAGTTAGGCTGCACTTATGCTGGAGTAACAAACAACCCTTGAAATCTAGGGACACCATGAAAGTACATTTCTCACTTACACAAAGGTTGCTGTAAGTCAGCGTCTGAGCAGCTGTATTCCATGCAGTGACTTGGTGATTCAAGCTCCTTTGACTTTGGGCTCTGCCATCTTAATATGTGGCCACCACACTCCCCAAAGAGAAAAAGGAAGTTGGAAACTGCACTGGGGTTTTTGCTGCCCCAACCTGTAAATGCAGCATGCCATGTTCTCTCATAGGCCACTATCTAGAACTAGTTGTTCTGGGAGATTAAAAATACAGTCTCCCAAGAACCCAGCAGGGGAGGAGGAGTGGATTTTGGTGAACTCGAGTAATATCTATCATGACAGCGCTGGTGAAAAGCAAATATACCCTCATATTCCTACAGGAAATTAATAAAGACTTAAAGCCAAGACTGTACCAGCTCATGCCAGTAGCCCTATTCTTCCTGTTTTTCAATTGCCTACAAAATGCATTGGCCTCCTTTTACTAGAAGTATTAAAGAGTTAACTGTAAGTAAACATGGTTGGAAAGCAGGATCAAAAATTAGACTGAAAGAGAAAGGCCAGGATGAGCTATTTCTAGCCAAGTCCTTTCATGTTGTGCCATTACCCTTCAAACTGAACAGCTGAGCCCTTAGGCTCCTCACAGTCCAATGATGACAGAGCAAAGATAATATTCATCAAAGAAGCAGCAGGGGCAGGGAAACTGAAGGGACACCACCACCTCCTAAAGACAAGGACCAGTAGAAAAGCCCTTAGTTTCTACATACTTTAACACATGCACATACCTCGTATGACAAGTGTGACCTCTAATATGTACTCCTTTAGTTGAGATCTCTTTGGAAATCTGGATTTACAAGTTACAGCCTACTTGACATCTTCTCTTAGATATGACTAAGAAATTACACAATTCACATGGTCAAAATGAAACTTGTGATTCCCCCACCACCCCAAGGCTTCCCTTTTTCTCCCTCTCTCTCACCAGTTTTCCCTATTTCACTAAATAATACCAACATCAAGTTAGCTGCTCAAACCAGAAACTACTGAGTCATCCTTAATTCCTCTCTTTACTTCCACAGGTTACACCTAATCATGTATTATTAATTCTATCTTGAAAATAGATGTCAAATTTGTCCACCAACTGACACCATCCTGGCTCAAGACACCATCTCCTCTCGACTGTGTAAGCTACAAAAATCCCTTCCTCACCTCCCTGTTTGTGTGTTTGCTAGTTCTTAATCAGCTCTCCATGGAGCAGCTAGAGTCTTCTCTTTATAAGTGTCTCCTCTATGTAACACCTTTCATTGAGCTTCCATTGCACTAAGTATAAAATTCAGATGAAGCCACATGATCTCCCCCATATCATTCTGAGCCATTTGGAAACTTGCATAATGATCTTTCTTTTCTACATAGGCTATCTCTTTTCCTACGTCAAGGTATTTATAAAGGCAGATCCTGTGCCCATCTTCCCGCACAGCTGCTCCTTTTTAACATTTCAGTTTCATCTCAGAAAACACCCTTCCTCT